GAAGAAGTCGTTTTGTGCTTTGGTGCCCTTTCCCCTGGTTCCTTTTGCTCGAGCTGCTTTTACTGTTTCAGAGTCTTTCGAGGGAAGGTTTCACTTTGACGAGTTTCCAGGTTTCAGCTTTCCAATCCGTCAAGAGAACAGTTGAATGTGCTTTCAACCTACTAGCGAAGGCCTCCAATCTAATAACGATGGCCTCCAACCTACTAACGATGGCTTCCAACCTAACAACGATGGCCTCCAACCTACTAGCGATGGCCTCCAACCTACAAGCGAAGGCCTCCAACCTACTAGCGATGGCCTCCAACATAATAGTGATGGCCTCCAACCTAACAGCGATGGCCTTCAACCTAGTAGCAATGGCCTCCAACCAGTAGCGATGGCCTCCAACCTAATTCCGGTGGCCTCCAACCTACTGGCGGCGGCCTCCAACCGTTGACTCCAACCTGACAGCAATGGCCTCCAACCTAATTGAAGGTTGAATTTGCTTTGCTTAGCTGTGCTTCACTTTGATCCGAGTTTACTCTGCCGCATGTTTACAACTGGTCTTTAGCTATGTGACTCTTGCGGAGGGAGAAGCAAAGAATGCCCTTGCCTGCACAGACAATGCGGTTCAGGCCATGTTTTTTTTTACAACGAGACAGTCCACAGCTGACTGAGAAGCGCTTTGTCACTGCAAGTGTGTCGGTTTGCCACCTTGACTGGCCCTTCCTTTGGATTCTTAAGACCTATGATACATGTTATTACATTTTGCTAGCAGCATAGTCACCACCATGAGATCAATGTCCTAAGTGTGCATCCACGTAAAGAGAGCTTTAATGTCTGCTGACACGAAGATCATTTGCGAAGAATGTCTTCGGGTCATCCAGGTCTTGGAGTCGACACGGATGCCCAAATCCTTCAACTACGACCACGTCTTCGGGTCAAACGACACGCAGGAGGCAGATCTGTCTTGGGGGTCACTCATTTCTTAAAAGAGCGCTTGAAATAAATTGAAATAATGAGTACTTAAGTGACAAAGACAGAGACATCAACAGAGGCAACAGACGAGACATCAGCAGAGGCAACAACTTTGGCAACAACATTGGCGGAAAAACGTTGGCAACAATCCTTCCAACAGGAAGCAAATCATGGCAAAAAACAGGGACAAACCGAGCAAACATGGAACACCACAACATACCACACCAAGCCTTCCAGATGGCACCCCGGGACACCGCCCATTTATGGGCTGACTGAACGACCCCACAGACATCCACATCAAGACTCTCCAGCAACTTTTTTCTATGACCGACGGGCTAAAGTTAGGATTAACCAGAAAAGACGGGAACGCAGAAGACAGTGGAGATTCTTCAAACGCACATGTCTGTGGGCGAGAGCCACTAAGACAGCCAAGGAACGGTTACAGAAAAGTAATCTTGCTAAGAGGAAATGTTTGAAACAACACAGCTTCAAACAATCATTAAACCATGCAAGACATTGGTTCAAATCCACGTTCAAGAAAAGGAAACAAGAATTTCGATATAAATGCGCCGCTATCAAGTTCCAAGAAACCAGTTTAAATCAGAGCAACAAACTACAAAAAATGAGGCGAAGCAATGGAAGCTAAAACACGGAAGTCGCTTGAAAGTTGCCACTTTGAATGTAAGAGGATGCAATCACCTTACCAAACGGGAAGTAATTGATGATATTATGAAGAAGCACTCATACGATATACTACTTCTAACAGAGACCCACGTTAATACCTCCAGCTGGGAAAAATGGGACAGCTCAACTTGTTTCTTTAGTAGTAATATTGACCCCAAAATAAGAGAACGAGAAATGAAAAAAAGGGACGAAAACATAAACCCTGGAAGGGCGAGAGCAAACTACAGAACATCGGAGGACTTTGAAAATGCCGGAGTAGGAATAGTGATTAATTCATCACTCCTTCCAAGTCTGCGAGATATTAGACAAATTAACGGCCGGATAATAACAGCCACGTTTGAAGCACAGGGCTCACCTCTTTCCTTTATTTGTGCATATGCACCTCACAGCGGACACACTATTGAACAGAAAGAGGAATTCTACGACCAACTATCCACAGAAGTGTCGCGAATAAAAGGGCGCTTCTTGATTGGAGGAGACTTCAACGCCCGTATTCATTACGTTAGAGACAACGATATCGATGTATGTGGACCACATATCATAGGCAGAGGAATGGAATATCTAGATAACATGAATGAACATACAAAAGAAAATAGGGCACTTTTCCTTGGGTTTTGCAAATCACACCGCCTTCAAGTTGCAAACAGCTTGTTTTCGAAACCGCCTGAAAAGTTAGTCACTTACAAGGAAAAAGTCCATATGGATGAAAACGAAGAATACAATGGCCCCCCCATATGACGCAATAAAATATGCACAGATCGATTACTGGCTCTGTGGGCAGATCGAGCAAAGAGCAATATCAGATATCCAAAGTAGATTAGATGTTCGTTTTGATTCAGACCATTTTGTGTTGGAATGCAAGCTCAATATTTCTTTCCCTACATTTAAAAAGGATAATGCGCCACGTACGTCGCGATATGCGAAACCTGACTCAGACAGATGGATTTTCTACAATAATAACATTCGGTCTTTGCTAGAGGGGAAAAGATGCGACTTGGATTCACTCACAGAGGCCATGAAAAACGCGGCCGCAAGCTCACTAAGGATAGAACCTCCGAATAAAACGGAAAAACATATCCGTCAAAGTACTTGGGCAAAAATTGAAGAGAGAAACGAAAAGGCCCGAAACGGAACCACAGCAAAGGAAATAACGAACCTCAACAGGGAAATTGCCCGAATGGCCCGGAGGGACAGGCAAGACCATTTGATAGAACAATTCAATGAGAACCCCCAAGATCCCAATAAGAAAGGTTTATGGAGAGCGGTTAAGGGATTAAAAAAGAAATTCATACCCAATTATGTGAAAATGAAGAACATGGATGGTCAGCATGTCCCTTTGGCCCAACGCGCTGAGACTATAGCGAACTATCTAGAACAAAAACACTGGAGCAACCAAGCTGAAGACGAAATCAACCACAGCAAACTTGTAGATAGCAACGATGCAGGAGTAGAGAGTTTCACAATACAAGAGCTCTGTGCAGCCATCAAGGCGGCAAAGCCCAATAAACAACCTGGCCCTGATGGTCTAACTATGGAACTGATCAAGTGGCTGGACAATGCCAACCGGCGGGTTCTTTTATCTGTTATCAACAGCTGGTGGAATACAAAAACTGCGCCGTCGGCATTGTTCATGGCCCGTGTTGTCCCTATCTTCAAGAAAGGGGATACAGATATTGCTTCCAATTACAGACCAATCTCCTTATATAAAATATACATGGTGATGATCAGGACCAGAATGCAGGCAGCCACAGAGCATCTACTGTCTAAAACCCAGTACGGCTTCAGGCCCAGCAAGTCTACTTCACATGCCATCTATATTCTCAGACGAATTCAAGATTATTCCGAAATTAAGGGGGCGAAGCTGAGCATTGCCTTCCTAGATTGGGAAAAAGCATTCGATAAAATTCAACATGACAAGCTTCTTGTTGCCCTTGGCCGACTGGGTTTCAATTCGCAGTATACAGAAGTCATCGCAGACTGTTATGCAAAGCCTCAGTTTTATGTCAAGGACGACTTCCGTTGTTCCGATTTTAAAGTTCAATCCTCTGGGATCCGACAAGGTTGCCCACTGTCACCTTTCCTATTTGTATTAGTCATGACCTGCATCGACATTGACATTCAACAAAGTATTTCCGCTTATGTGACAAATAATCGAATCCCAGGGGTTAATTTTGACATGATCTATTATGCAGATGACACTGTACTTTTCTCACGGAACAACCGAGCATTAAACGAATTGCTGAAATTGACAGAGAAAATCTCCAGTGGATACGGACTTGGTCTCAATAAAAACAAATGTGTTGCTATCACTATGAACAACGACGGTTGTATTCATTTTCATGACGGGACCCCTTTGAACAAAGAATTTGAGGCCATGTATCTTGGAAATGAGATAAACAGGACAGTAAATATAAAACATGAAATCCTCAATAAAATGTCAGAGGTCAGAAGGACCTGGTTCAAGCTCAGCGCCTATTGGAAAGCTTCTGGAGCCAGCAAAAAGTGGAAGCTAATCATTTTTGATGCCATAATCCGGAGTAAGCTTTTATATGGGTTGGAAACTATACATTTAACCCAGGCGCTAAGCAAATCACTAGATGCTTTCCAATTAAGAAGCTTGAGAAAGATTCTCAAAAGACCGCCTACTTTCATAGATCGGTCATGTACGAATCAAAAGATTCTTGAGGAAGCAACTGCCATTGCCTTCCCAACTCGGGGCGATAACAGACAAATTATACGTTTCAGTGATTACCATATGAACAGAAGATGTAAATTACTTGGGCATATAATTAGAAGCAGTAATGATGACCCCATGAGACAAGTATCATTCGTTGATAGCACTGCATCCAGAGTTGATTACGGCACCAAACGAGTTGGGAAACCGAGGCAAAACTGGCTGCATATCACAAAGAAATTTGCACACGAAAACGTTTTGAGACATCATAATTTCGATGAAAACACCGATGATGCAAGAATATATGCAGCCGCATTGAACAGAGATTTTTAATTACCGTTCTTTGGCTGTGCCAACGCCTTGCAATAAGCCCGTCCGGGCCAGGTCGGCGCGAGGTATGGCTGGAAAAAAAATGAGTACTTAACTAAGTAAGTAGTTACAATAGTAAGTAGTTAGGGTGGTGGTTTACCATAGCAGTTGCTAAAGAAACAAGGAGGTTTTGTGAGGTCTTACTTGGCATGAGGAACTGTGAGGTCTTGACCTTCTTGTTTTGATATCCTTTCAGGTACTAGAAAGGTAACGGTAAAGAGCCTTTCTTTAATAAAGTTGCCCTTTGCGTTCTCTTCTTCTTCTTCTTCTTGAGGCAATCTTCCAGGCTATTGGCCTTCACCTTTTGGACAACGCCATGAATGCGTGAGCCCTTTGGAGTCGAGGTCTCCAGGATGAGTGCCGAGTCCGAGAGGAATCGATAGTAAAACAAATAATAGACGAAAGGCGATTGCCCGTTCGCTCTTTAAACTAGAGGCGATTTAGATTTGTTTTTGCAGTCAGAAGTCAGAAGCACAGCCAGGTACAATGGCTGTATTTTCGCCTATGGTCAGACTGGCTCTGGCAAGAGCCACTCGATCATGGGCGATGTACACAACGAGGCGGCCCATGTCCTCCCTTACAGCCCGAACGTGTTCAAAGTTAGGAATTCCTGTGCTGTCCTTTGTGCTCTAGGACGAACAAGGAATCCTACCACGTGCTTGTACCCGCCTCTTCAGCGTGCTGGAGCGACAGTGAAGCTTTGTGCAGTGATCGGATCCGTCTCCCATGACAATTTTTTGGCAATTTACAGCATGGACCGCAGAGATGACTTACAACTATAAAAAGCACTCTGTATGAGGTTAAGATGCTTGAGGAAATCATGCTATAGCAATTTTGACAAAATCATTCTTGGCCTTACTACTAGGAGCAAGAAGCTACTAGGGGCTCCTGGCCTCGCTACTAGG